AATCCGTGGAGTTACCATACACTTCGTAACCCAAACGCCAACGTGTTCTCGGACACTCTAGAGGCGTTAGCCCAACGTGCAAGCGCACTCTAAAGGGCTGCGAAATTTAAACCCGAATGCCAGCGTGTCTGTGACACTTTGAAGGCAGCGATGTTCAGTGCAGAGATGCACACGTATACCTCGAGCGAGGCAAGAGCCCAACGTGCTTACGCACTCAAGAAGGCGATATGAAGCTAGATATAGTGCAAAAGAATACCTCAGCGAGGCAGTGACCTGATGCGCTAACGCAGTCAGAAGGCCTAGAGTCGGTGCCCGCGGCGTCTTATGTAGGCGCCACACCGAAATTTAACCGCGAGTAACGGCCCCGGCTCGGTGCGCTGCCGCGTAGCGGCGGCGGCGTGAAGCCGCGGAGAGCGGTAGTCGCCCGCGCGCGGAACGCGCCTGGTGGGGAGCGGTGCACTTGGACACGGTGCATTTGGACACAGCCAATCACAACACCGTGTGATTAGAGACATTTGTAGGGTCCCTTGGAACAGCGACTTGTGATTAGACTGTGTCCAATTGCCCCGTGTCCAACTGATATACACCCCGCCTGGTGCACGGCCGCCCGCTGCTCGCTATCCGTGCGGACGACAGCTCCCGTACGGAACACATGCTTATATAATGTATCCTTATAGTGTTCACAGTATAACATACCTAGCAAACATTAAATAATAGTTACATAATTTTTACTTGTTGTTCATTGGATAATTTGCTGATAGATATTGAAACAATGCAACATTCCATATGCGATGAATATTAATGTAAAGTAGTGAACCAGTGATAATTACTTTTACATTTTTAACAAAATGTTATAATGATTAATCCAAACAAAAAAAAAACTAAAAAATTCAAGAAAATCCAAATTAAACAAATCGAATTACTAAATTTTGAGAGAAACTTTTAAAAAATATTATTTAAAACAATAGTGTTGTTTCATCAAATGACATGGTTTCCTTGAACGAAACCTCCATGCCGCCACCTTATCGTGGTGGAGGGGTACCGGCGATCCGATGAAGGCTCGGCGGCAGTACCTTTCGGCTTCGGCCGGGAGGGAGGCCCCTACCTGAGGATCGCTGGCGAACGGCAGCAACGGGGAAGGAAAACCCCCACAGAAAACCGGACCGCGGTGAGCTGCAGCCCTGCGGTTGCTAGAGGGGGACGTAAGACCCTCCACTGCAGGGGAGCCCGGCAACTCCCACAGGGCCAATGGGCCCATTTGCCGGTAGGGGTTGGCGGCCCTGATTCCAATCGCCCGGCCGGCTGGGGCCGTTAGGTAGAGCCTGCTCCACCACCAGTCTTGGGGCGGGGAAGGGGGGACCTCCGCTCCGCGGCGGGTAATTTCCCGTCGCGGGGGAGGAGAAGGTTCTACATGAGTAGGTATTGCACGCCGGCCTGGCAGCTGAAAGTGTGGAACACCCTCGATCCGTCCCTACTCGGGCCTCGGTCTGGGTAGAGTGGGGAGAAGAACCCACACCCGGGATTGCACGTTGGTAGCTACCGACAACCCGGGGTGCGCGACCCCGACCTCGGAATATGTCCGAGCGGCCCGCGCACCCTGGAATGGCCATCCCGTCGGAGTTACCCGGAGCCGGGCCGACGGGACGGGAGGTGGAGTCGCAGGGACCGGTACATTGGCTCCCCCCACATTTAGTGGAGGGGTGCTGCACCCCGGCAACCCTGCGACTCCTCCTGGTCACTGCCGCATATCGCGGCGTGGCCGGCCGTGAGGGCCCCACCGTGCGGACAGCTGCGCACGGGGAGCACCAGGGGTCTGCGTGGTATTTACCAGGACCCCTACAGCGCAGGTCCGACAACGTCGGACCTATACACATCGTAAACCTCTGGAGGTCGTTACGTCATCTCTATGACGTACCTCTGGGAGAGCGAGGGCCTTGACTTAGACGCCTGGGCCGCGAGGACGGAGACCTCTATAAAAAACCCCCCCAATCCTAAACTTGGGAGCCGCGGCGATGGGATGAATGGCCGGCGGGTTAGCCGGTCATGAGCGATCAACCCCGGGGCACCTGGCGCACCCCGGGTGTATTCAGCCCGAACCCAGGCGTGGGCTCCGTCTGGGGGGTATCTAGTTCCTCCACTTTTCATGGCCCGCCCTGTAAGCCTACGGGTGATAAGGGGCGGGCAACCTAAAAATGAATTCTTTTCACACAAAATCCTGGGATAAGGGGCAGAAAAGTATAGAGGAGGATGCAGTTGCGTCGCCGGCGACCGTGCTACCAACGCACGGAGCAGGGCCGTCCACCAGCCCTGCTGGGACCCACGTAGCGGTCCGCGCCGAAGAGGGGGAGCGACCCGAGGAGTAATCCTGCGGGACTCCTCCTGATCCGCCCTGCAGTAATGGCGGATCAGCGCGTCGCACCAGATCGCGCACCAGAGCTGGCAGCCAAGCTCGGGCCAAAGATCAGACTCAGGCGGCTGCCGGTCCGGAGAGGACTCGCTCGGCCTCGCGAGGCAGTTCGCGTGGCCGAAAGAGCCTGCCGAGGGTCCCGTCACCGGGACAGTGCGAGAGGAAGGGACGACTCGGTAGACAGCCGAGCGTCATCGTTAGAGTGGGCGGCGGCGGAGGACGGGCCGCCGGAGATCGTGGTGGTGGAGGAGAAGGCAGGAATACCGGCCTCCCCGGAGACCGCCGCCGGTGGGTCTGCCTCTACGGCTGAGGACCTGCCGGCTCCCAACCTCACTCCCGAGACATCGGGAGTGAGAAAGCAGGGTCGGCCGTGCAAGGACCCCTCCCACGAGGGGAAATTCACAGCCGACCAGATGGCCATGAAGAGGGCGGCCATCCAGGAGAGGAAGCTGGCTAAGGTGGAGTACGCTGCCGACGAAGCCAGGAGGCCCTACGGCCCCAGAGTAGACAAGGCCCAGAAAACCGCAGAGAGGATGGTCCGCGACCATAGGGCCATGCAAACAGTACAGGTGTCCACCAGACTATACCAGTCGGTGGACACTGTAATGAAGGTGGCTCAGAAGTCCGGCAGCATTAAGGGCTCCCTCCTGGGCGAGTTGTGGAGAGCGGCCGAGGAACTCTTGGCCTGCAGCACCACGCTCGCCGTAAGGGCCCAAAATGTTGCCGGACAGCCGGGGTCCGTGCCCGACTCCGCGGCGAGGGAGAGCGAGACCCTGTTGAGGCGGGAGCTTGACGAGCTTAGCTCGCAGAACCGCCTCCTCAGGGCCAGGATCGCGGGGCTGGAAGAAGCATGGTGGCGTCTCCCTCCACAAAAGGGGAGGGCGGTTGCGCCTCCTGCCGCCGGCCGTAAGAGACCGACGAGGGTGGTGGGGTAGGGCTCCTTCTCGGAGGAAGAATTAGCCCACCAGAATAAAAGGAGGTGTGGGCTGACTCCCATTCCTGGCTCCTCCTCCCCAGGGGGAGATTCACCCATGAAGGTGGAGTTGGACGACGGGAGTTACAACCCCCAACCTGCCCCCCCTCACTGTGGGACTGACGAGGAGGAAAGAAGGAGGCGCCTCAGGAAGGAGATTGATAAGGACCGGAGGGATGGTAATGTCCCTCCGGCCATCAGGCCTCCTCTCGGGGGGAAGACGGTCTCCCTCCCTGATGTGTGAGGACGGATCGGGGGCAGTTAACAGCAGCCACAAGGGCCGGGGCGGGTACTGCACCCACAGCAGCCCCGGCCCAACTAGGAAGGGCGAACTGCCGCACCGCCGCATCAACAAGAGCGGCAAAGAGGGAAGCCGGAGGGCGGGGGGGGGCGACGGCAGCGGCAACGGCCGCAGCAACAGCGGTGCCCCCCCCCCCTAGTAGGTTATGGCGGGGCGCGCCTTGAAATCGGGGAGGAGGAGGGCACTGCCCTCGAGTTGCTACTAGAAGTAGCGATTCCCCGAAACTTGGCGCGTCTAGGATATGCTTCCCGGGGGCGGCGCGGGTCGGACGAACAGCCGCCGGCGTGGGCGCCTTCGGGAGGGGGGCCGACGTACGGCTGCCCCCGGTCCCCCTCCCATATCTAAGACGACAGAGCCTGGCAGGGGGGACGGCATCTTCTTCTCCTTCCAAGAAGAAGAAAAAGAAGAAGAAGAAGAGAAGAAGCAAGAAAGGCGGGGGTGAGGAGGTGGGGCAAGCGCTGCCCCCTCGCCATAAGCCCACCGGCCTATATAAGGAGAAGCCGCCGCGGGATCTTGGCGCCCTCCTGTGGGCGGTCGCTCCCCACGCCAATGGCTCGGTCAAGGAGACATGGGCCACGGTGGTGGGGAGAAAGAAGGGCGGAGTGGAGGGGCAGAAAGGGGCCCAACTGGTGGCATCCCGCCCGGCTTCGGAGGCCAAGAGACGACGACAGCGCGCGCAGGCGCGGGGCACGGAGGGCAAAGGAGCAGGCCGCTCCTAAACCTCCTCGCTCGGCCGCTGTATCGGTGACGTGTCCAGCGGGCACATACGCCGAGGTGATGCGCCGGGCAAGGGGGGAGATAAATCTGGCAGACCTAGGGATCGGGGACCTCCGCACCAAAAGGGCGGCAACCAGCGCCCTGGTGTTGGAGGTCTCCGGTCCGGAGGGTCATGTGAAGGCCGACGCGCTGGCCGGAAGAATGAGGACCCTCTTCGCCGAGGAGAAGGAAGTGCGCATTGCGCGACCGGCGAAGAGGGTCGAATTTCCGGTCCGTGACCTGAACGACGCGGTGACGACGGAGAATGTCGTCACTGCTATCGCGTCGTCTGGGGGCTGCAAGCCCGAGGACGTTAAGGTCGGGGCAATCCGTTCCGGGGCCAACGGACTGGGCACCATGTGGGTGCAGTGCCCGTTGGCCTCAGCCAGGAAAGTGTTGGATGGTGGCCGCCTGCGTGTGGGGTGAACCACCGTCCGTGTGGTGGCCCTCGCGGGGCACCCGCTGCAATGCTACAGGTACTTGCAGCGGGGCCACGTGAGGGCAACTTGCTCGTTGGTGGTGGACCGCATCGGGCTCTGTTATCGCTGCGATCGGGACGGCCACAGGGCGGCGGACAGGTGGAGTGCCCTGTCTGCCGCGACGCCGAAAGGCCCTGTGGCCGTATGGACACTTCTCTTTGCCCAATGGGGGCAAAGGGAGAAAGAAGGGAGGCAAGGGGTCGGGCTATGCTCCCCCTCCCCCCCAAAAAAGGGAAAGAGCGGATCTCCCCCCACTAAAGGGGAGCGTGGACACGCTAAAAAAAGTGCAGGAGGGGGCGCCCGCAACAGTGCGCGCCCCCCCTGCCCCTATAAGGGACAGGTCCCTCCCCAATAGGGGGAGGAGTTTGAGTCACCGCTCCACCACAGGTCAAGTAGACCGCGACGAAGGGCTGGGGGAGAGTGGTGGCAAAAGGGGGGCCGAAAGTGAAGGGAGCGGGGGAAGCAGGTCCCGCTCCCCCATTACGAAGCCCGCAGCAGTTGCAGGAGTTAGCCTGGAGGAGAAGGAGGGTGTACCATCACAATAGGTACACTTCTCCTCCAGGCCAACCTGTGCGCTCGGGCGGCCCAGGACCTATTTGTCCAAGAGCTGCGCGAGCGCGACGCTGAGATTGGGGTCGCCGCCGAGCTCTACTCGGTCCCGGAGCAATCGTCCTCCATCCTAGGGGACGCCCGGGACCAGAGGGGTAGGTGCTCGGTGGCTATCTTTGGGGGGATC